TACCATGTGCTGAAATGTGAATATGCTCATCACAGACCCGTGCTGTTCAAATCATGGGTCCCCAGGGCTCCCATGCTGGCCGCTTAGTTCTTACTTATGAAAAATGTATTCATTTTTCAATGAACCAGCTTTTCACTGTAGCAAAAACAATTTTAGATAGAGAAATTGATATTTTATCTATTTTGCTATCTTGAATATGGCTTTGCTTAACAAGACATGGCTTTTCCCCACTACAGCAGATAATGGGTTGCCAATAACTCATTCAGTTATCAAGTTCCAAGAAATGTGTTTTGAGGGTCTTTAGTGCCTTAAAGATGTGTTCCTTTTTACAACAATCATGTCCTACTTATACCAGTTTAGGGTCTTAAATCGGTTGTAATCTATTCCTAATAACTGTTTAAGAAAACATCAAGGCGGGGCGCCTGGGTGGCGCAGTCGGTTAAGCGTCCGACTTCAGCCAGGTCACGATCTTGCGGTCCGTGAGTTCGAGCCCCGCGTCGGGCTCTGGGCTGATGGCTCGGAGCCTGGAGCCTGTTTCCAATTCTGTGTCTCCCTCTCTCTCTGCCCCTCCCCCGTTCATGCTCTGTCTCTCTCTGTCCCAAAAATAAATAAACATTGAAAAAAAAAATTAAAAAAAAAAAAAAAAAGAAAACATCAAGGAGACAATGTCCGTATTTGAAAAATAAAACCCCAGGTAGTTGAATTATATTAAGAGGTAGTTAATTAAGAGTGATTGAGAGGTTAGTATCTAAAAAATGTTTTATTGAGAGAATCCGTAGAAAGTTTGGGCTTCTCCTATTAAACTATAGTAATCAAAAAAGGGAAAGGTTGCCATGAGATTATGCTGGGTGTAGAATCATCTGAACATAATAACATTATGCTGGATTTAGATGCTGGGTTTTTTAATCCTCCGAGAAGACCAGGCAAAGCTCAAGGTTTCCAGGGCAGGACTATCTTGTACAATGTCACTACGAAGTGGATTTTTAAACAAAGGTAGGGCTTGGCAGGTTGCACTGGATACTTCAAGTCAACTTCTCTGGAAAAATGTGAATTACTCAATAAGCCCTTATTTGCCCATGAGATAAATCAACTCTGAAATACCCTGGAGAGCTGTGGTTAATGTATCATACAAGGTCACACACTGGGCTCTCAGTTCACAGAACTAACCAGGTTTAAGACAATGGGAGACCGTAACATTTTATGAAATAGTTTATTGACTCCTTTCACAAACTATCACTGTTTGGTAGTTTCTAGAAGGCATTAGACAAAATAATCCTTGAGAGGAAAAATAATGC